TAGTAGGTAGGAGATGGGGGTGGGGCTTGAGGTGGGAGGAGGGGATAGGTGGGAGGAAGGAGAGGTTAGGGAGGTGGGGACAAGCTGGACTGGTTTTGAGATGTGGTAGGGGGAGGGGAGATTTTGAAGCTTGTGAAGTCCACATTGATACCATTGGGCTGCAGGGTTCCCAAGTCTAAATATGAGGTGCTGTTCCTGCAACCTTCGGGTGGCATCGTTGTGGCACTGCAGGAGGCCCAGGATGGACATGTCGTCAAAGGAATGGGAGGGGGAGTTGAAATGGTTCGCGACTGGGAGGTGCAGTTGTTTAGTGCGAACCGAGCATAGGTGTTCCGCAAAGCGGGCCTCCGCTTGATTTCCCTGATGTAGAGGAGGCCACAATGGGAACAGCAGACACAGTATCCACATTAGCAGATGTGCAGGTGAACATCTGCTTGATGTGGAAGGTCTTCTTGGGGCCTGGGATGGGGGTGAGGCGGGAGGTGTAGGGGCAGGTGTAGCACTTCCTGCAGTTGCAGGGAAAAGTGCCGGGTGTGGTGGGGCGGGAGGGGAGTGTGGAGTGGGCAAGGGAGTCATGGAGAGAGTGGTCCCTCCGGTAAGCAGATAAAGGTGGGGAGGGAAAAATGTCTTTGGTGGTGGGATCGGATTGCAAATGATGGAAGTGTCGGAGGACGATGCATTGGATCTGGAGGTTGGTGGGGTGGTACGTGAGGACGAGGGGAATTCTGTTTTGGTTGTTATTGCGGGGAGGGGGTTGAGGGATGAGTTGCGGGAAATGTGGGAGACACGGTCAAGAGCGTTCTCAACCACTGAGGGGGGTGCTGTTGCGGCCCTTGAAAAACGAGGACATCTGAGATGTTCGAGAGTGGAATGCCTCATCCTGGGAGCAGATGCAGCGGAGGCGAAGGAATTGGGAATAGGGGATGGCATTTTTGCAGGAAGTTGGGTGAGAGGAGGTGTAGTCTAGGTAGCTGTGGGAGTCGGTGGGCTTGAAATGGATATCGGTTTCCAGGTGGTTGCCAGAGATGAAAACAGAGAGATCCAGGAAGGAGAGAGAGGTATCAGAGATGGTCCAGGTGAACTTGAAGTTGGGGTGGAAGGTGTTGGTGAAGTGGATGAACTGTTCGAGCTCCTCGTGGGAGCACGAGGCGGCGCCGATACAGTCATCAATGTAACGGAGGAAGAGGTGGGGTTTAGGGCCAGTGTACCTACTTAAGAGGGATTGTTTCACGTAACCTACAAAGAGGCAGGCATAGTTTGGGCCCATGCGGGTATCCATGGCCACCCCCTTTGTCTGTAGGAAGTGGAGGTTCCTTGGCCAATATCTATTCATCGATTAACATCATTAAGCAGATTATGTCATCATTATCACAATACTATTTGCAGAAGCTTCCTATGTGGAAATTGACTTCCATGTTTATTAAATTGCAACAGTGACTAGGCATTTGAAATATTTCACTGGCTGTAAAACCTTGAGAGATTCTGAGGTCACAACAGGTGCAATAAAAATACAATTCCTTATTTTTGTGAAATGCACAGTGAAAGTGACACCATGAGAATTATGTATAAATTGACGTGAGGGAGATTTGTCAAGACTTATGATCAGTTAGAAGGCACCTTGCTAATTGCTGTCATTCTGGGGAAGATAGCATAAAATGCTCCCAGGTTTGAAGGCTGGGAAGAGTTCTAAGTAAACATGCACACCGCTGGATTCAACACTGTGCTCCCAGGCTCCAGCTCAGCCTGACACATGTCTGCCTGAAGTTGATGGGGAAAGTATAAGGAGCTCAGTTTAGGTATACTCCATTGGAGATCAATCACAGACATTGACAAGGAATTTCCTGTGCTACCAATTTTATTCCAGACTCAAAAAGAAAGATGGAAATAAAATAAACAAGAAAATGGGTCTGCGGCAACCTGGGTTTTATGCCAAGATTTGTATTTGTATTCTTTGAAAAAGGGTGATGTTTTACTTGGTTTTTAAATGGCTTTGGAATAGTGATTAATACACTGTAGTGAAAAACGTTGATATTAACATATAGTATTTGCTGCAGGCGATGAGAGTTTTGGCCTCCGCTGAAGGACCGGTGAGAGCCCCATTCACTTCCCTTAGGAAGTCCTGCCACTTACGTTGACAGCAACTCCCTTATTTGGGATCAAATGTTGTGGGTGCAGAGGCATTATTTTGTGGTTGGTTGGCTCGCTGAGCTGGTTTGTTGTTCCGCAGACCTTTCATTACCCTGCTGGGTAACATCATCAGTGCAGCCTCCGATGAAGCACCGGTGTGTTTTCCCGCCTGGTGTTTAAACTCTGGAGTCCGTTGAGCTGGATTGCCTCACTTCCGGTTTTCCTTCGTAGTGGAGTGTATCTGGGGTCAAGTTCTATGTGTTTATTGATGGCTTTCTTCGTGGAGTACCAGGATTCTAGGAATTCCCGTGCCTGTCTCTGCTTAGCTAGTCCCAGGATTTTAGTGTTGTCCCAGTCGAACTGGTGGTTCTCCTTGTCCATGTGGATAGAGATGAGTGAGTATTGGTTGTGTCTTTTTGTAGCCAGAGGCATTATTTGTCCATGTAAGGGCCTTAGTAGCCAGTGGGGTTTGGAGTGTCACCACTTGCTTTGAGTGCCCCTGTACTTCCAAACTTGGGTGAGGGCATTTGCGAATCAAAGGTTCCCATCTAATGTATATTGTTAAAATTGAACCTTACGTCCGTTGAATTATAATGTGACAAAAGTTGTGTATTGTATACATATCATTTTTTGGGGTTTGGATTTCAATGTAACTGGGTGTTGATTACTATTGTGAAGGTTTATCTGAAAGAAAAGGTCAGAGTGTCCTTCCAGAACAGTGACCTAATCCAGTATGTGGCTGAGCATAGGTGACTACAATTCCTTGTAGTGTTAATGGAACAATGGTTCTAGTATCAGTGGTTTATATCTATATACCACAAATAGAGAAAACATTCAAAGCTTTGTTTTCAGTGCAAGAAGTTCAGATGAGCAAGTTTTTTTTTCAATTTAGTACAGAAACAAATTTTTCAGTTCAGATTAGGAGAAATGACTGTTGGTTTTAGAAACCAATTTAATTTCTCTCCAAGAACAAAGATTCAGGATACTACAAGAAATAGATTGCCACCACAGTAGTGTAGTTGTGAAATTTCCAAAGCAGCAGAGTTTGGTTAGAAATCTGCCGATTACTGAACAGGAAAAGCTTTTAGGTTCTGGAAAAATACATGTTGGCATATTTGGAAAGGACTCATCAAATTGTCGCCATAGGCAATAGGAAAAAATGTGGAACGATTCTGTTAAGTAGAACACTATAGAGTAAAGAAGAGGAATATAATCTCTCTGGACATGAATTTCTGAAACAGATAGTTGGCAGACTAGTTGAAGCTATGGCTTACTGAGTGTTTTGAGATGATTCTAACTGTCAAATTTTTTTTTTTGGTATTTCTACTTTTGTTTTAATACATTTCTGTTCTGCTGTTAAAGAAACTTTGCATTCTTATGCAAATATGTCTCGGGGACTAACCATCATATTAACTAAGTAAACATGATAAATATATGATCTATCAAGCCAATTCCATTTTGTGATCTAAGTTGTCCAATGGTACCGTCAGCTGTGACTATAACAATGTGGAAGAGTATCCTAAATTATTTAATTTGTTTACTGAAAATTTTTCTGAAGTAATGTTTTTGTGTAATTTTTAGGTGTGGGATAGTTATGGACGTCTGTTGTATAGCTCTCAGGCGCATGACTATCCTATAACATCTGTGGCTTGGGCACCTGATGGGCAATTATTTGCTGTTGGATCATTCAACACCCTTCGTCTATGTGATAAAACTGGGGTAGGTGACTTTTTCTGTCTCTAAATATGGATAAACTAATAGACAATTGCCTTTGGTGTTGTGTGATCTGAACGATTAAACAGTTCAAGGTTAAAAACTTGTAGGCCTGAACTCACTTTGTTTTCCAAAAACTTTCTTTTGCTTTTTTCTCATCAAACTGTGTGATTTTACTTTATCTGCAATTCATTTTTTTTGTGTAGGAGTTTTGGCCGTGTTAGCAGGTTATAACCGAACCTTATCCTGCCCTCATCCAATATCTGCATGTGGCCCCACAATTGGTTTGGTGGTCACAGGATAATAATAAAAATGGGGAGCCCAGGCAGATTTTTCTCTTTCTATTCTCAGGCTAATTGAAATGATCCATCGAAGGTAATGTTACTTTACTCTGCCCTTTCTGATTATGCATTGTTTTTGAGAAAGTTGGAGTATGCATTATACCAGTGGTCGGAAACTGTTACCTCTGAAGTATAGTCTGTAGCCAGCAGAAAAAATTATGTCCCAAATTGAACTCATTGGCTTGCACACATGTGCGAATGTTGATTCCCCATGCAACATATTTTAAATGTCAATGGCATTACCGCTTTAACATTAAGAATATTCTACACTAAGTTTAAAATATTTCCAAAAGATCCAACAGACCAGAAACTACACCTCATTGACACCTGTGATGTAACATGCATAATTTAGATATATTTGAATCTCATTTATTTCTGGATTTTTTAAAATTTCAACTAGGGGCATATGGATTTTCTGTGTGTGTGGTGTTTCATGATTTACTTTTCAGTATTTCTGTGGCCTTGGTGACTTTTTTCAAAAAAAAAGAACATTAGAGAGAATCTTCCTACTTCCTAGATTTCCTTCCCTAGGTTAGTGGGAATTTATTTACATTGAGAGATTATTTACAAGTGGACAAAGTAAACAGTTGTATGTTAAACTTTCAGTTTAGAAGATTTTTTTTTGCTTAGGGGAACATCCATAACTTGAAAAAAGACTTTGGATTTCAGTTTGGCAGTTTTGCAGAGGCTTTGGCAGAAGTTGGATATGTTGCTAGAACCTTCACTCATTTCCACATTTTTTGTTATCACTTTTGGTTTGGAGTTGAGAGCTGAAGGTGAACTTTTGGATTTTGAGCAGCAGCTTGTTGTTTTTAAAAAAGGCAAACAAACAAACTGATATTTGCTTATGAGGCCAGGCCTGAAAATTAATTGCAGGTTGATTCTCATTCCAAGAATGCTATAGATGTTTTGGTTCCAGAGATGCACTACGCTCAAACAGATGGCAGATGTTTGAAGGTTAACAGGGACTTAGTAGGAAGACAATGTGTCTAAGAAAGAGAAACCAGAATTTGAACTATGTTGGTCAGAAAGATTGTGGCTGCAAGAGCTGTAGGATGGAGATTTGATTGTTCCCTGATTATCTTCTCATTATCAACTTATTGAAAGTTTTGAGAATAGAATATCAGTTATAAGTATTAAGTGACTGTTTCTCAGAGCCTAGTAAAAGCTATTTACATGCATTGGTGGCTTCAGAAACCAAGCAGGATACAGTGCCTTGTGCTTGTGATGTTATGAATCTGGAGTCTGCTTAAGTGAACCGGCCAATTACATCTCATTTTTTCTTTTTGATTTATCCCTGAACTATGTCTGTTTGTCAGTCTGTCTTTGTGTGAATAGGGTCTAGAATCAAAGAAAATTGAGTTTAAATCATAGACATTAATTAGATTACCATGTGTCAAGCTACTGTATAATTAATAATTTATTAATTATTTTGTTTAAGCTGTGAACCTGGTGTCGGGTACTGGTTATTCAAAAAGTCTGAATAGAAACCATTTGGGTCAAGTTTGAGAGTCATTGAATGTTTTAATTTTACTGTGTTGCAAATACAGGGAACTGGGGACTACTTTGAGCTATGTTGTCTGTCTTCATGTCATAACACTGTAAACCATTGTTCCTGAAAAAGGGAGATAGTTTTGAATTGTTGAGAAATAGTTTGCCTCAATGTAAGGAATTTAGTTTAGAAGTTCCAGACTGGAAGTGTTTAGTTAAAACAATAAAGGTCTTATTTGAAGATGAGAAATTCTATACTCAATTATATGAAGGCACAAGGAAGAGGCTATCAGATTCTCAACACTATGAATTGAAGCTAACATTGAGTTAATCTCTATAGGAGTGAGAAAAAATTTAATTTTCTCTGATGTGAGAACCGTAAAGGTGTGTTTTGGGATGAATGGAGTTATATTTTACCAGGTGTTTCTAAATCTTTAAATGTTTTGATTTGTTCTATTTCATTTTCGTTTCTTTTTCATAACAAACTTCTATATTATGGTAACTGTATTAAAACCAAATCTTCGACATTGTGTGTTTGTGTTTCAGTGAAAGACCACCTTGTTAAAGCCAAAAAAAGCAATGATCTGTCAAGCCAGATTTCAGTCTGGAATCTGACTTGTCCAGAAATAACAACAGCTTGAATCATAACCACTCTTATCAAATGATTATAAATTTCTGTGCTGCAAAAATTGTTCATGTAATGCTGACCTAGATTGGTTTATTTTCCTTGTATTGCTAAAGGGGTGGATGGCCTGCCCTTCACTTTTGGAATTACAGAACAAAAGTGTTCTTCTTAGCTGTCAAAGATGTTTGTGTATTGCTCCAAAATCTAATAGAAAACAATAGTGCTTTATGCATGTTTCACACTTGATATCTCCTTCCATTGACTAAGTTAGAGCTGGTTGTCACTTCTGTAGTTTCGGCTCTTGACAGTTTTCTCTTATTTGCTGAATCTGTTGCTTAAATGCCTTTGAAGCTAGTTTTTCAACTTCATGCAATCAGTCAGCAGTTGTTAATCCCTCTAGGTTGATGGAAAATGTTTTATTTCAGGACATTATTATAATATCTCATCTGCTATCCTGACCTTTGCAGAATTGTAATATTTTTTCATTTATTCTTGGAGGTGGGCAGTATTGGCAAAGCAGTATTTGTTGCTTACAGAGTCAGTGTTGGAGAGGTGCCACCTATAGACCAAACAGCAGCACCCGCTTCCTTTGAAGGTAATTTGTGATCTAATAGAGTTTTTCTAACGAAATATACAAATTATCAGATTTATTCGTAGTACCGCATCATAACTACTAACCTACTGTGCCATTCCACTAGATATATGATGTTTCATCAACAGAAACTGCATATAATTGTCTGAAAATATCTGATGCTTGAACCCAGACTTCCTTGAGTAAAGGCAATTAAAGATTCTGACACTTTCCCATCAGTTTTTTTGTGCTCCCAATTCTCATCATACAGTTAATGTCTGATTATTATAAGAGTCTGGGAAGCCAAAATTTTCCAATAACTACCACAGTTCCAGATTGTTATAATTCAAATGCTTGTGTGTAGTCAAGAAAACCAGCATCAATCTGATTTATACTCTCTAGTTTATTACACAACTACCACGTCAATAGTGCTTCTTCATAGTTAGTGAAATAACTCCATAGAGGCCGGTATCCCATCACCAAGACACCCTTTGTTTATGTATGAGCTTTCCTTCACTCTGGTACTGGCTCATACAGAATCAGGCACCAAAGCGTCAGTATCTCTGAGACTCAGCACCCTTTTATATCAGCCAGAGCTCCCTGATTGGACCAGATTAACAGTCTATTCTATGAGGTCCAGCTGGCTGACCTCATTACAGTCACTACAATTAGAATCCACACTGTGTCCTCAAAAAGGATCTGATCATTGACACACCCTCATAACATAGGCATGCATTATTACGTTATATTCTACAAAAGAACATAAATTCCATTAGGGAACTGCCACATGTTTAAACATATAATATAGTTATATGTTTACCCCCATCAGTTCTAAGCAAATAAAGTGATCACTTCTGGTCTTGCAGCTTTGACTTGAGAATATTGGCAGGCATGGTCTTAGCAGTTTAAGTCCACAGTGTACAGTTGGATTGTGTTGCTTTGTTTGACTTGCAGTTTCTACCTGATAGCATTAGCATTATTGTTCTTTACCATTTTGTCTTGAATAGTATGGCACAAAATCAGAGAATTACAAGATTGTTACAGACAGAAGGAAGCCATTCAGCTTACTGCATCCATGCTGGCTCTGCATGAGAGCAATTTACCTAATGTCTCTTGCTCGCCTTCTCCCTGTAACCCTGCACATTCTTCCTTTTCAGACAAAATGTAATTTCCTATGGAATATCTAAAATGAACTTGCATCCACCACACTCTCAGCTAGTGTTTTCCAGATCCTAACCGCTTGTCCCTTCTACAATGCCATAAATCTGTGCCCTGTTGCTCTTCATCCTTCTCTAAAGAGATCACTTTCCCTATCTGCTCTTTCCTAATTCCTCCTGATTTTGGATACCTCTGTCAATCTTTTCTCTACCTTTTCTTCAAAGAGAACAGTCTCAATTTCTCCTTCTCCCAACTTCTACAACCTATCCGCATAACTGAAGTTGTTCATCTCTGGAACTATTCGTGTAAATGTTCTCTGCAGTCTTTTTAATGTCTTCACATGTTTAAAAAAGGTCTGAAGCTCAAAAATGGATATAATAGTTAAGGCAAAAGCAATGTTCTAAACAGGCTTAACATAACTTCCTTACTTTTTATTCTATGTACCTAATAATCACTGTAGGATGTTGTATGCATCATAAACCATTCTGTCATCCTGTCCTACCATCTTTAATAATATAAACACATATGCACCACTGTCCCTCTACTACTGCACTCCATTTAGAATGATACAATTGTTATGTTGTCTTTTCACATCCTCCATACCAAATGAATGATATCATGCTTCTGTATATTAATTTCATCAACCACTTGACTACCCATTTCTCTAAACTGTCTATGTTCTTTTGAAGTTCTACACTATTGTGCTTACAGTTCTGAATGTTTTCAAGTCTTACATTATCCACAAATTTTATAATTGTATTTTGCATACCAAGGTCTACGTCATTAATATATGTCAGGAAGAACAATGGTTCCTAGGAAT